ATTACATGAAGAATATTGATATGAGTAACCTTTAAGCTAGCACTCATTTCAAGTCTTTCTTTTTAAACACTCACATTACAAAGAGTGATGGATGCTACACAGCATAGAGTCTCCTAGAAGTTGTTGTCAGATAGAAGAATATCAAACAATCGTGGTGTATGACATGATCAAAGTATTTTGAAGATCAGTAAAGATGTAAGAGGAAAACAATCAATAATCCGTTTGATTGAATACTTACTTCATATCAGATATATCACAAATAAACTGTATTCTTTAAATGTATATATATGTGTATTTCTTACTTACTTACTTAACCCTGTTATCCGTTAAGGGGCATAGGCCGCTGACCAACCTACTCTGTCCCGGACGTTCTCTCAAAATTCTATTCAATTGTTGTTCATTCTTCTCATATCAGTCTCTATTTCAGGGCATAATGTGTTCCTTGTCTTTCCTCTTTTCCTCTGGAATTGAAGATTCCAAGTGACGGCTTGTCTTGTGACGGAGTTAGGTGCTTTCCGTAATGTGTATCCTGTCTACTTCCAACGCTTCTTCCTGATTTTCTCCTCCACTGGAATCTGGTTTATTATCTAACACAGTAGGTTGTTGCTGATGGTGTCTGGTCAACGGATGTGAAGTATTTTACGTTGACAATTGTTAATGAATACTTGTATCTTCTGGATGATGGCTTTGGTAGTTTTCAAATTTTCCGCTACATGCGGTAGAACTATCTTGACATTTTTATTATATATATACTCATATATACATTATACATAGGTTCTATGTGGTCTTAACTATTTCATATATTACATTAGTACTCAAATGAGTCTACGGAGTTATGGGGATGATAGTCATTATGATAATATTGGTTTTTCATTAAAAAATTGTCCATTATAATCGTTCCATATGATAGATATGGCGTTAGAAATAATATTTTACAATTTTGAGTTTTTTTAATGTATGGTACTTTACTGAATTAAAAAATGATTTTCATGCCAATCAATTCAGTTACATGTAACTAATTTCCTGAGATGTATAATTTGCAGTTTTGAAATAAATATGAAATTTTATTTGTAACCATGAAACGATCAATGTTAGACCACCATTAGAAACATGGAAGCAGTAGACAGCCATCAATCCCTGGTATGGGACTCATCAGCAGTGCGCATCCACGGCTCCCTCTCCTCGCAGGATTCGAACCCAGGACCTTCGGTATTGTGCGCGAACGCCCTAACCGTTAGACCACTTAGCCGGTGTCTAACGGTGTTAATGTGTAACTTGATCAAATCCACGGAGTTGCGCGGCGTCATACCCTGTATACATCCGGACAGGTTTGAACTTCACTGGTCACGACTTCCCACTAGAACTCGGAGAAGATTCTTCACCAAGCTAGTCACTAGTGGACACATGTCATTGCATTGCGGGGTTGTTGTGAAGATTGTTAAGTTTTGTTTGTAACCATGAATCGATCAATGTTAGACCACCATTAGAAACCTGGAAGCACTGGACGGCCGTTTCGTCCTGGTATGGGACTCATCATGAAATTCTTAGACCATTGAGAATTCACTGAAATCATAAATCGCGCGTTGTTAGACCGTCATTAAACACCTGGACACATTGAACAGGTAAATCATCCGAGTGTGAGATTTAGCAGCGGTGCGCATTCATAACCTTGCACTTCAGAATCGAATTCAGGAGTTTCAATCTCCCATACAAATGCCTAACCACTAGACGACGAAGCCGGTACATAGCGGTCTTCATTTCAATCAATTCATGATATAGCGCAACCTCATTCATCGGCTTCTGTGGATAACTGCCTCACAATTAACTCGATATAACTCCAGTGGGCAGAGCTTCTCGCTAAAACTCCGAAAATTTCCTTACCAAGTTAGTTACTAGTAAACATATGATAGCAGTGCTCTCAAGTGTCTAATGGTGATCAATTCATGATTTCCATGAAACTCAACGTAACCTTCTAATAAACATTGAGAATTCGTCAAAAATCAAGGAACCACTTTTGAAATACACGCCATGCGCAATTGTAAATTATAATTCCATAGTTTAACACTTTTTCATTGAATAGATTCTACGTCATTTTTTTTTAATAACATGGTAAACAAAGGCGAAAAGCGAAATATTTTCACCAAGAATACTGATCACAAAATTCCAATATAATTTTAATCAATATTTACACATTGTTTATCATTGTACTTGCTTGCAAACATTTTTTTCAAGCCTACAGTAGAATATCATTCCAACTAAAATTTCCTACTCTTGAATTTTTTTGTGTCAGCAATATACTCGCTGTATATTTTTGCTCATTCGCTTAATTACTAACTGTAAGACAATAAAACTTAATTTTTTCGTGCAGAGTTTTGGAGGTTTGTGTTTTTTTGCACATTTGAAATCATCAAATTCCCTTGATCAATCAGAGTTAGACATAAACACCGCTGGATGCCAGCCCAGTGGTCCGATGGTTAGGTGTTCGCGCACAATGCTGAAGGTCCCAGGTTCGATTCCTGCGAGGTGCAGGAGTCACGGATGCGCACTGCTGATGAGTAGTCCCATACCAGGACGAAACGGCCGTCCAGTGCTTCCAGGTTTATAATGGTAGTGTAACAATTACTGATTGATGATTTAAAATGAATAAAACTTAAGTTTTATTATCAGTCTACTTGTAAATGTTATTGATCAATACAAGTTAAACATTCATTGAAACTTGTATTATCATCAGATTGAGTTACACAACTTTTATATCCGTAAGTATCTTTAGGATCCAAACTGATGTTTGGATTGAGGAATAACTGTCTAGGTAGTTTAGATACGCGCTTTGTCCAGTTGAAATCCAAAACAAGTGATTCGGATAAATGACGACTCTAATATTCATCATAAATATAAATGTACATCACTACCTAAACAAATATTACCACTTAGTTATTCTACCAAGAACTGTTTAATTATTCAAATCAACAGCAACAAATAAATGTTATTCTATCCTTTATGGATGGATCAGATTCGTTCGACAGATAATATTTGGTTGCTCTGTAACACAAAGTGTTTGCTATTCTGGAATAGTGCTTCAATTCACAATCAAAATGTACAATTCCAGTGAATACAAGCAACTCAATGAAAGGAGGGACAAATCAGTATGGCTGTCGTTATGATTAGGTTTCGGCTTAAACTACACAAATGCAGTTCAGAAAGAAACATGGAAACTCAGTGAGGGTAGAAGAAATAGAAACTATAATAAAATCCAAATATTATCATCATGATCTCAAAATGGAATCGAACAGACTAACTAAATGTACAACTGGATGAATCAATAAGAACAAATTACAAATGTATACATGGAGGGATTTTCACAATCAAAGTCTTCAAAAAAAGGATCTTACAGGCATGAATTATGTTTTTAAATCTATATGAATTCATAACTTGTTAGCAGGTAGGAAATAGTGAAAGATCATTTTTTTTAATGGATTGTATTGCTACATTGTTGACTGCAATTCGATCATTCTTAGTTGACATTTTATGCATTTCGTGGAGATTGTTTTAATATTATAGATGTGATATGCTCGTCAATTGATATACTTGAAACTATCACGTGTTCACCTTACTCGGTAGACGAGAGGTAAGACAAGTGATCCAGTGACACCATAGGCTATTCTAATCCGTTGCCCCAGCTCCGGGTAAATGTAGCAATGAGTCTTGATAAGGACGATAGAATGTACTCAACACGCACCCGGAAGATACAAGGTCGACAAACACACACGTCAAGCTTATTTATACCATGATAACAACACCTTTGGGAGAGCCACAAAATAGTGTATTAAAATAATCCATCAACCAATGACAGTCAAGGATCTTCTGAGTGGGAAATGTAAGCTCAAGATCAACTGTGCGACTTATGCACGAAAACATAAAAAAATCCAAAATTACGACCTTATTTAAGTAAGTTCTGAGGATCTAACCTCCCCAACAAGATGAACAGATCAACGCCGACACTTTTAGTCATAGCCCATCTATGCTGTATGAAAAAAAACTTGACAGTACATCCATCATTGTTTTAACCATGATACTATGACTATGTAAATGATCAGTTGTAATCAAATCTGGTATTTTATCACATATAAGCCTACACTAATGTAAGTGAATCATTTGTAAATGAGATAATGCTGGCTATCCGAACTTCATTAGTGATTAAAGCTGTTCAATCATGTATATCATTTTTCAAATAATGAGTAATTAATCGTTTTGACAATAAACTGTTATTATCATTCTTGATCAATAAATACAATCATGTAACCACTGTTGTTATAGTGCCTTATAGCAAAGCACACCAACAATACTACTGAATAAAGAATTCGGGGTTTTATATCAGTCGGCGAAAGCTCACTGCAGAAACCACTGAGCCAGCATCCTATTGTGGTGCGTGCTATTTATAAGTAGTGTATGACACTAGTGTAAACGTAATGTCTGGCAGCAGAAGATGGTAGAAGATCAAGAAAGGAAGAGTGGGAACACAATGGAATTTGTATGAAACGCATGAATAGTGAAATGTCAGACAATGGATTGATGATGGATTGAAGATTTGCAAATTAACCGTTTACGATATGGTTTTCCTATTTTACTCAATAACTCTGTAATTTGCGATAAATACAATTCGGTTGTCCTCACCTGTGTTCTCCTTCACTACACTATGACCTATATATCTAGCTTCAATTAATTAGCGATACCGAAAGAGCATCTACTGTTATCTTCAGTGAGTAGAGTTGCCTCACAATCAACACGGCCGAACTCCATGCAATACAGTCTTTGCTCTAGAAATCATGGAATTATTTTTATTGAGTACATAGTGAATATCAGTGCCCATAATCCCCGATTAGATTCCCATTACTCAAAAGTTATCATACATAAATCGCTTTCTTCATCTGTGTAACAGTGAACACTTTTCACAAACTCCTTGCACTGTTCACATATATCATCACACTGATCAAAACAAACTATTCAAACAAAGTTTATATATTATTTTTCTAAAAAAAAGAGAAATCCTGAATTCATACCAAAACCATTCTAAATTAGGGATTAAAAAATTTATCAGTAAAAATTACTGAATAAAAACAAAAGGAGCACAAAGTATTAGTCGAACGAAATACACAAGAAATTTAAAAAAAAACATCCATTTCATAAAATTACAATCATCATTGATCACATTGTTCGAAAAAGAAAACAAGTACTGCGAAAAAAATCAATAATAAAAAAAATGACTAACTAATGCGCAAATGGAACAACAACACCCTAATCTACTAAACATGTATGCTCCTTTGTTTTTTCTACAAGTTTAAAGCTAAAATTAGAAAAAAAAACAGAAAACTTGATCATTGACAATGAATGATAAGTCGTAACTACTGAATTGAATATTGATTGATACGTCCATTGTACATTGAACAATAATACATGAGTGAGAATGCTACAAAATTTGCAAGCATAATTGACTGACTTCAATGATGTATTTTCATTGAATAAAAACAATTACACTAGGATGTAGTGATTGTGTGTTGCGTAACAGTGGCTGTCAATTAGTTTTCATTTGGTAGATTTCATAAAAAACACCGAAAATTGTCCAATGAAATTTAATAATCCTAATAGCATAATCAATACATGTACACAAACAATACACCACCATTTTATTGTTTCATGTTCTGAGAGAAATTTAATTTTTACCATGGATAATGTATCATCACTACGATTATCAATTTGAAATTCATTAAATGGTAAGTGATCATCAGTTGAGGTTGTGGTTGTGGTTGTTTTTGGTGTTGTAGTAGTGAGTGTTGGTTTATTCAAAATGTTATTATTCATTCCATTCAAATGATGATGATTTGGTAATAATAGTTTTTCTGGTATTTTAGTTTGTTCTTCATTGTGTAAACGATTCAGTGAACGTTTATTCAGTAGATAAATTAATGGTGGTAATGTGAACATATAAACTAGACCACATAATGAACCACTGAATCTATAAAAGAGAAAGTCAATAAGTGAGTATTGATATATTGATAAGGATATTGATATTATACGCTGAAATCATCAATCAATGATTGGTAGACTACCATTAGAAACCTGAAAGCACTGGACAGCTGTTTCGTCCTGGTATCGGACTGATCAGCAGGTGCACATCCACGATTCCTGCACCTAGCAGGATTGGAACCCAGGACCTTCGTTCTTACGTGTGAACGCCTTACCTCTGGATGACTGATGATTCTAACGTGCAAAAACACTGATCTCCATAACACTTATTGAAAAAAATATACTTTAGTCAAGCAGTTATAAATAATCATTGGTTCATGTCGACAGATTTTTACTAATTTCCTTGATGTCAAACTAATTAGATGGAGTGCCAGCTCGTTAAGTTGAAGTATGTTCACAAAATATCCCAACATACTTGCCAGTATCCTCACTTAAATAGTTTTAGGCTTATCCGCTACCAGAAAGAGATTTGGTTCGATGTCTCGCAAGCAGAGCGAAGATCATCTATTTAATAGATACTTTGGTTCAGGAGATAAAACCGAATCATTTCAAGTGATCTATAGTATACCTTCATCATTTCCTAACAGATTTCGATCCAACCTCTCCTACCTAAGTAGGACGACCATAAAATTGTCCAGTAGGGATTAACCAATAGGAATTGACCAATAATTCTCTTAGGATATTGGATGAATATCCTAACAAACTTCATTTTAACGGAGATGTGGCTAACGATTTTCTGCATAATAGATTAGTGAAAGCAATTAGTCGGACCTTCTACACAGTTAGTCTAGAGTTGACTTTCTCCGGTCGGCCAGTGATGTCTACTCAAGGTCAGTGAATTACCCTCGTCAATTTGTATGCACAAATCCAGTTGCTCCTGTTGAGACAGCTATATTGCGCGTATAATCAGCCAACTTATTCAACAAATGAGTAAACATTTTCCAACATGGTTTGGAAAGCACCAGATATAAACACGACTCAGCTCTATCTTGGCACACATGATCGATAGCGGTCATAATATAGATAAAACCGAATCATTTCGAGTAATCTACAGTATACCACCATCATTTCCAAACAGATTCGCTACAATCTTCTGTATACAGCAGACACCAAAGGAATCCTAACATTCAGCTCAAATTCATGTGTTCAGTAAAATTTATGACACCTCTGTCCCTGGATATAACTGAAAACACTATCTTAAATGTTTCTTCATTTTATTTCACGTTATCATCAGCATTGTTTTCACACCATGTGTTTGTTTGTCGTATCTTTCTGTTTGTACTCTTCACTATCTAATCATTTTATACTCTTCTTACAACATAATTTGAATAGAGCATTGTGATTAATATTTTAAGTTTATTTATCAATGTTTGATGTACTACTAATTGTAATGTTAAACTATTGACAAAACAACTTTTATTATCGTATTTTATTATTCTTACCACTCACTACTAACAGTACACCTGTTTCTTTACTATCAACATGTACTCTTATCTATGAAGTGCAGAGTTACGTGCTATCTATTTCACTGCGATTATTGACTTATAAGTAAGTGCCTTGATTGGTTTAACACTTCCTTTATAAATATTCATGTATATAAGAGGGTAAAGTCTGATGATGATCTAATTGAAAACAATAATAGTGTTCGCTTATATGTCTCGGCCAAAGATCTAAGTGATAGTAATCATAGTTAATACTAATGAAAAAGAATAAGGATGCAGAATACGATTTGAAATGAAAGGAAATTCCTAGAAATTAAACAGTAGAAAATAAGTTTTGCAACTCAGAATTTCGGAGCAGACAGAGAGTATACGCAAATAAGTCATCGCATTTGATTCTTAGCTATCAAATTCAGTATGTCCGACTGCTAACAGTGATTAATTTGCGGACTACAATCAAATGGTATGCATTAACCTATATGGTTCAGATCGATAGTGACGTCATAAAATGATGCGAAGCTGACGACTACCTGTGGATTTATTTAGGTACCTATAGTTAAATACTAATCTACTGTGAATATCCTCTATTTTGACAAGTCATATTTTGCAACTGTTTAGTGAAACACAGTAGCCCGATATTCAATAATCATTTAATAGGGAATTACGGTCGAATTTCATATTTGAACCATATAAAGTGAAGTACTTAGTGATTACTTAATTATAACACAATACATCAAATTGAGTCTGATAGATAAAAACACGCATAAATTGTTCAAAATATATTTCAGGCACAGAATTTTCTCTGAAAACTATTCAATGTATTTGAACAGAGAAATGAGAAGACATATTTTGTGAGATAGTAAATACCATTTCGTGCTTTCTCGTCAGTCACATACAAGCAACATGTTATTTGTGTAAATACAATTTTGAAGATAAGGTCAAAATTTCTTATTTAGCATAACATTCACTCACTAGAACCATGGTAAACAAAGGTCAACATACAGTTGTTTTTGAACACATAAAGTTGGACTTTTCCGACCAATCAAGATAGCTTCGAGTAGTTTCAGTGTGTGTGGGTTTTGATGACATGTCACAACTTTAAATGCTGATTTTGGGTCAATTTGATGAACACTCATCATCAGATGTTTTGCAATGGACGAGGCTAGGTTTCTTGATCGATTTTGAGATGATGGGCTAGGTTGATGAATCATGGATTTAATTAGCCATTTTGGAATATGTTCCCCTATCCTGTCTTCCAATCGGCGATCTGTCCTCCCTAAGTAACTTTCCCCGCAGTTACATGTGAATTGGTAAATACAGTGGGATTTGGACTGAATCGGTCTTGAAGACTTGATTGGGGTAACTGAGATCGATTGAGTTGTTGTGATAAGCCTCAGATTAGCTGCATTGAAGGTCTTTTTTATTGCAGCTGCAGTCTGTTTGGTTGGTTGTTTACCATGGTTCTAGTGAGTGAACGTTACGCTAAATAAGAAATTATGACCTTATCTTCAAAACTGTATTTACACAAATAACATGTTGCTTGTATGTGACTGACGAGAAAGCACGAAATGGTATTTACTATCTCACAAAATATGTCTTCTCATTTCTCTGTTCAAATTTATCAAAGGGAACCACTGTTTAGGACATTCAGTGTATTGACAGATTTATTCTTATATCTTATGGTTCAACTACTTTAAGTCTAATGTATTTATCGTCTCTATTACGATTGTTTATGCGATGTGTGCAACAAACGTGTAAGTTCTACATGTACTTCATAAGTTTCATATCGTTTTATATCATTGACATACAAGATTGTAAAAATTCTCGATCATTTCAAACCAGCTCTTTTATTCGATGACCTCTCATTACAATTTCATGACAGAGAGTTCTAGTGATCACATGGGAATAGTGAGTGTCAATATGCAGACCAAAAGTAGATGCTGATGTAACAATAAACGTATTTACCCCTGTTATTTTTAATCCTGTAAACATTGAGCAGTGCAAATATTTGAGTTGATAATTTTTCATGTTACTTATAAGTAGTGTGAATAGCAAGAAAGTAAATGTTGCGCACACAACAACCTTTATAGATCTAATTAAACCCAGTACTCTTTGATGATAGGATAAGAAGAATACTCATTTGTTTTCTGTCAGTAATTTCATGAATGACATACTTAAAACTGTAGCAGCCATTAATTCGATGATGTAAAATTTGTATTTGATAGAGGTGTGGATTGGTGAATTCAGTGTTAACAACACTATTCAAAGACACACACGAAGATCAAAGGAATTTAAATTGTTTTATTGTCATCTTAAAATGACATAACCTTTTGCTGCGATAAAAATGTTAGTATTTTAAAAAAAGTATCTTCTCAGTAGTAGTCTCATCACTAGCCATGACTACAGTTTAGTGAAACCGAAACATTTGTGTAATTCAGTGTAATTAGTACGATTTCTCAATTAGAATTAAGGAGATAATAGGTTTGTTACACATTTGAGATCATCAATTATTCATTGCTAGACCACCACTAGAAACCTGTAAGCACTGAAAGGCAACCGTTCCGTCCTGATATGGGACTCATCAGTCCATACGCACGACTCTTGCGCCTCGCAGGACTCGAACCTGGGACCTTCGGTCTTGCGCGCCAACGCCCAAACTCTCAACCGCTGGGCCAGCATCCTAAGGTAGTTACTGCCTACCCCCGGCAGGACTGAACTCCACTGGTCACGTCTTCTCACTAGAACTCTGAGAATTTTCTCACGAAGCTAGTCACTAGTAAGCACATTTTACGATTTTTCAGTTACAGTTATGGAGATTATTGTTTTTTACACATTTGAAATGATCAATCAATCATTGCTGATGAATCCCCTACCAGGACGAAACGCCCGTCCATCGCTTTCAGGTTTCAAATGGTGGCCTAATAATGATTGGCTGATGATTTCAAAAATGTATGACTCCGATTATGCATTTATTCACATCAATTTAGATTCAAGTATGACCTCATGAAGACCTTGTTTGAAGCAGTTACGTAGCTTACATCACATCAGTTGAAAACTAACAATCATTAATTGAATGAAATTTCACAATATAATCCATCAAAACTAATCTGGAGGTCAGTAAACTTTAAACGTGAAACTTTAAAATCCTTATTATGATCCACAATGAAGTACGCATTACTAAGAAGTTCATGTATAAGTTCGATTGATTCGGTTGGCTTTCAAAATGCTTGAAATCCAACAACTTTTTAAGACCTTCATCCCCTTGTCTTTTATCACATAGTTTAATCGTAATAGAAAATAATTATCATTTAGTAAAATATACATCCACATAGAGGTCATTTTAAAAAAATGTAACCATTGTAGAGCCTTCACGTATATTTGAGTTCGCTTACATTTAATTTGGTTAAGCCCTTTCGGTTAATTTATTTGACCAAGCCATTTGTATTTCAATAATTTATATGTGCCATTCGTTCTTATTATTGTCTGGTTTGTATGAGGAGCTCACATGGCGTGTCATTTGACCTTGTTAATCATTCGTCGCTTTTATTCATGTGTACCTATTTCGCTTGTCGCATGTCTGTGTTATTAAATTTTTCTGACTATATATTCTTAGTCATGCTCTATCTCTAGGAGTTGGCTCACTAGCCTTCTCCACATCGCTTCCTTCGCCCATTCGTTCGCATTGTAATCCTAGGAGTTGGCTCACTAGCCTTCTCCAATTCACGTCGTTTCGTACGCTTTGTTCGCTGCTTTTCAACTTCGCTTTATGGTGTGTCCAAAAATAAACGTATTCATTACTTCGAATTCATCTTCTGATTTATAACCGTCAGACGCTATTTGTCAACGATTGTCTGAACGAGCTAATTACGAAGCATAAGAACACGTCGAAATTGGCCACCACATCATGACTCTGGCTGTTAACCGTGAAATTTTCAAAAGTACAGTCTGAATTGCAAAATACACAACATTATATACATTTTAACCTTTTTAGTAATATAGATTTAAGGCTGTCTTATATTCATTATTAGTAAAGTGAATAATTATCGGAAATTAATTTATCAATGAAAAATATTGAATAAATAATAATGACAAACAGTTTGTTATTGCTACATACCGAATAATTGTGCCAATTTTTGGCATCAACATTGAAAATGTCAATGATAGGCCAAGAATGAATACATGCAATATAGTGACATGAATAAATCTGAAAATGGTAAATGTAAGAGTATTTCAATACACGGATAAGCAAACAATTAGGCAGGAATTTATTGAATTAAACTAAATTTAAAACAGGCTAGATTCTGTAGCAGTTATATTTAATATGTGAATTGGAACATTTTTTTAAAGTGTATTACGGGGTTGTGAAGATTGTTAAGGTTGTTTTTTTGTGACTAGTGACTAGCTTGGTGAGGAATCTTCTCCGAGTACTAGTGAGAAGACGTGACCAGTGAAGTTCAACCTGTTCGGGTGTAGACAGTAACTACGGAAGACTGTGTATGAGGTTGCACAACTGCGTGAATTGATCAAGTTAAACATTAACGCAGTCAGATACCGGATCAGTGGTCCGATGGCTAGGCTTACGCCTACAATACCGAAAGCCCTGGGTTCGTGGATGCGCAATGCTGATGAGTCCCATACCGGGACGAAACGGCTGTTCAGTGCTTCCCAGTTTCTAATTGATCGGTCCATGGTTTCGAAAAAAGATTCCTTAAAGTTGTTGAATTCTTTGTGCATATCTATTTAAAGTTTAAGTTAATTTGTAAGTAGTTAACAGAAAGTACTACGGCCTCTAGGTTGTCCCTAAACCTCTTTGGGGGAACTAATCATTCTCGTAAGATTAGATTCGGTGTCATCCGCCTTCGCCGTGTTACATGTCATCATCCAAATTATTTATGTTGTGATCGATTGGCTTTAGGACTGAAATATTCGAAAACTGAACGATTTAAGTGACCAATGCGATGACTATTTGAAACCATGAATCGATCAATGTTAGACCACCATTAGAACCCTGGAAACACTTGACGGCCGTTTTGTCCTGCTACGGGACTCATCAGCAGTGCGCATCCACGACTCCCGTACCCCGCAGGACTCGAACCCAGGACCCTAAGTGTCGTGCTCGAACGCCCTAACCGTTAGACCACTGAGCCGGTATGTAGCGGTGTTAATGTGTAACTTGATCAAATTCACGGAGTTGCGCAACCTCATACACTGTATACATCCGAACAGGTTTGAACTTCACTGGTCACGTCTTCCCACTAGAACTAGGAGAAGATTCCTCGCCAAGCTAGTCACTAGTGAGCAATCTTCAACAATCTTCACAACAACTCCGCAATGTAATAACTGTTTAATCCAGAACATAATGTACAAGATATTGAATATTCAGAATACAATTTGAATTGAATTGAATTTGTTGAATAGTAAAGAATCTATTTCAACAATTAACTTATCCACTAACCGAATCTATTTATCTATCTGTCCAGTATATGTGAATCGAAATTCCAACATCCAATCAGTGAATAGGTAGCATCTGGATATCGTACAACATACGGAAAAGTTGGGAAATGATTAAGATGAAGAAGCACATTTCTTTTTTTACAAAACCTCAGTATTGTTCAGTATGCACAGAATGATATTCTGAACAAAGGATAAACTGTGTGTGAGTTTTCAAAAAATAAGCTGGAACAATGCTTTACGCTATTAAAATCGATTGACAGCTGACATCTGTGTGCTGATTTCAAATACAAAAAGGATTTCAGGCATTGACATTACTAATCTGTGTTTTAAATCAATACATGAGTCAATCATTAGTAATTTCTTTCTCACTATTAATGTAATGTTGGTTTTAAATCAACAAATCCAAATTATGCAACTGTGTCAAGCACTGAGTATAAAACTCGAAAAACGGCTTTATTTTTACAAGCTACAATAGAAATCTCCACACAAAAAACAACAAACTTTATACACAATTTCAATCAGCTGATCATAACATACATGCTTATACTTCCAACGAACACACACAGAAAAGAAACACTCTCTTATCATTTTGCAAAAATTAACGAAATATTTTCTTTTTAGAAGAAAAAACTAGAAAAAAAAAAGAAAGATAACAAAGTAAGAAAAAACTTATTGTCAACTTACCCTGGATAGGCTTTTTTAAATAAAACAGTCATAATTTGTACACGTAGTACATAAAGTATCATTGGGAATACAGTGAACATTTGTAACAAGGAGAAGAAACGACCAATAAACACTGGGATATCAGTTATGAGATTATTCAACAGATTCTAAATGGAAAAAAAAATGAAATTTTTTTAACGAAATTTACATTTTTTCTCATTTCACTAAACTGAGATGATGAATGAGAATTGTGTTCGGTGTCAGGCGATGGATTGAATTGTTCACTTTTCAGTTTAAACAAAACAAACCAGCGTTATTCAAATTTCGACCTTAACATTCAGAACATTTTCTAATAGATCATAAAATTCATTGTCACAGTATTTTCTATCGTTTGTTATACTTCAATCAATATAAAAGTTTAAATAAAATTGTTTGTTTTTGAAAATACACAATGATCAAAAGAGATAAATGATATGCCTGCATGTAAACACATCATTTTGATATACTTGAACTATGACGAGTTTCCCTTAGTCGGAAAACAAGACCGAGGATCGAGAATCCGGTGACACGACATGCTACTCCCAACCCCTAATGAATATGAGAAGAAAAGCTTGATATGTAGTAGAACCTGTATTCGACAAGCATTCAGAAAGTACCAGGTCCGAGTCCAAAAGAGAATAAGGATCCCGGACTAGGGTTCCAGGACCGGGTCCTGGTCCTAGAACGTTACAGATAATGCATACATACATATTGGTCGAATAGGAAACAGCATCGAAGTCTGTGACACTGACAGTTAAGAGGACCAATTGGAAACAACATTTGAGTGGCACTGGTAGTCAGGACAACCAATAAGAAACAACATTGGAGCATGTAAAATTGACCAGTAGGGATTAACCAATAGGAATTGACGAATAATTCTCTTAGGATATTGGATGAATATCCTAACAATAAAGAAATTCAGTAAATAATTTTGATGACGATATTTATTTCATTCACAATATGTACATGCCCTGGAAGACGTTAACATCTTTACATATCTGGGTAGTATCATCGACAACTAAGATGGATCCGATAAAGATGTGAGGGCATGGATCGGCAAAGCAAGGGCTTCATTTCTACAACTGAAAAATATCTGGAACTCTAAACAAATATCAATCAACACTAAAATCAGGATTTTCAATACAAATGTAGAGACAGTTCTACTGTATAGTGCGGAAACTTGGAGAACTACGAAAGCCATCATCTAGAAGATACAAGTATTTAAGAACATTTTTCTATGCAAAATTCTTCTTCGACAACAACCTACTGTGGGAGAGACCAAACCAGATTCCAGTGGAGTAGGAAACCAGGAAGAAGCGGTGGAAATGGATAGGATACACAGTGGGGAAAGCACCGATCTGCCTCACAAAAGAAGCCCTCACTTGGAACCTCCAACGTCAAAAGGAAAAGAGGAAGGCCAAAGAACACATTACGCCGAGAAATAGAGAAAGATATGAGAGGAATGAATAAAAACTGAACAGAACTGGAAAGGGAAGCCCAGGAGAGAGTAGGCTGGAGAAAACTGGTGGGCGGCTTATGTTCCATTGAGGGGGTAACAGGTGAAATTAAGTGAAGTTCTAAGATCATTATGAAAAAAATAAGAATAATTGTTTACCCGAAAAATCTGAATTTTTTTGAGTTGAAACTTAAGTTGGATTGTAGTTGCGCATTAGAGTGATCAGACACATGTTATTGTTATTGAATCTTACATAAGTTTATGATTTTTAACAACATTCAACCATCTTAACAAACTGGCAATCCATGGGAAGCAATACAATTCGATCGACAGTTGCTTTAGTGACATATACAATCCTGTCGGGTTACAGACAAATGTGTGGAGTCGTACAAAATACCTAGATCAATCAGAGTTAGACATTAACATCGTCGGATGCCAACCCAGTGGCCCAGAGGTTCAGTGTTCACGCGCAAGACCGCAGGTCCTGGGTTCGAATCCTGTGAGTAGCAGGAGTCGTGGATGCGCACTGCCACTGATGAGTCCCATAACCGGACGAATCGGCCGTCCAGTGCTTCCAGGTTTCTAATGGTGGTCTAACAATCATTGGTTGATGGTTTCACTGCATAAAAAAATTTCCATAAGCCAAATGCCCATTTACAGTCATCATTATGAACATGATAATTTACAAGTCAACAGTATAGAAAAAAACATTAAAGTTGAGAAATAAACGAACTGAGAATTTGCATAGTAAGTTACATCTAAATGATGCGTTTAAAATAGTCACGTTGTTAAAGTCAACTTTATTTTTCGTTTAGTTTCACACAAAAAACCCATTGATCTATGCTTATATCAATCGATTACGGATTTGTCAAATTGTTCGATTTCTGAAAAAAATCCCATAATTATCAAATGATTTTACAAGTTTAAGTTAATTGAATGAAAAAAAAAGAGAATCTAGGTTAGTAGTCTTATTAACTAGCTTTGAGTATTAATGATTGAATGCTTCCTAAAATAGATTAGAACAAGTTTTCATACCTGATCAATTTACTTGTTGTTTACAAAGTAGACATATATATCTTACGCAATGCATGAATGAATTATTTGTTAAAAAGTAACGCAAACATTTCGATGCTCATCAATTTCTTCATCATATGATAGAGAGAAAAAAAGATTGGAGTCAACCAAACTCTGATGTAACACATTTTTTTTAAAATTAGAAAATAACAAAATTTTTATTGACTGCTTATGAATTTCAAAAGATCCCTACATCATACATGTTATCACTGAATAGTACTATGCTGTCTATACATATATACGTCAGATCAGTGTTTTTCTGTCTAAATACACAAAAGTACAACAGGTTGAAGCCATGAATTGATTAATTATTAACCTAAGAGCATTAGGTGACTGTTTCGCCCTCGTATGGGATTCATCAGTAGCGATGTGCATCCAAGACTCCCGCTACATGCAGGACTCGAACCTAAGACTGTCAGTGTTTCTGCGCTTAACCTCTAGACCACTGAGCAGGGATACAGTGAAATTATTGTCTAGCTTTAATCAATCTAAGCATCTGACACAACCTCAACCATTGTCGTCGACAGTTATTGCCTATACCCGACAGGCTCGAACTTCACTGGTTACAGCTGCTTACTAGAACTCGGAGAATTTCTTCACAAAGCTAGTCACCAGTAAGCAACATTGTGTGACAGTCGTTGTATAGAGTACTCAGTCGGTTAGTTGCAACGTAGAACTTCGTACGTATGTACATCAGTTCATGTTGCCCTACCACATTAGCACAGAGAAGCTAATGTTAAATCAAATCCCATAGTGATAAAGATAGTAGAGGTGTTAATGGTAATGAAGAAGACTAGGGTTCGAAGATATTATTCAAGAAGTATAATTCAGTGAGATAATGTTGAAAAGACAAAGGTAGAGGTGCTGACGATTCCAGAAGATTAGGATTTGAGAGAGCACAATGAATGGATGCACTTGCGCCATTGCAAACGATTTTGAGCCATGTCATTCAAGGTCTCTAATCATTGGTGACTTTCGTCTCGCGGAAAAAGCGAATCGAGCCTTCTGTATCCGCGCTAAGATTTCGTCAGTCACCAGGCCATCTGCATTGATGAGACTCCCCAGATAAGTGAAGAGGTCAACACGCTCGACCACTTCACTCCCAATCACTAGTTCAGGTGCCAATGCAACCCAGTCTTGAAGCAACATTTTGTATTTCGTGGGGGGACCGCGTCCCGATTATGCTCGCATTGATGCTTATGGGAGTCAGAAGACTGCATTTTTCAGCGTCTTGGGCATATTCTAGATCAGTAGGCGATTTTTCTGGTAGAAGATCGACCCCTGAAAAATCTGACGAGCTTAATGTAAACTCTAAGAGGATGTCTGTGACGAAGTTAAACAAGGATGGAGAGAGTGGGCAACCGTGACGGACACCACTTAATGTAGACAATTCAGATGACAGCTGTCACTCGACCAGTAGAGTTCGAGTAGAGTGCTTGTATAAGGTTAATGTACTTCTTTGGTACTGCCAGATTTCCAATAGTTACAATCAAAAACAATAGTCTTCATGACTCTATAATGAATTACAATATGTTTTAATCAATGAACAGATGATTTATGTAGTCATTTGTTCGAAAAAAATGTAACAATATATTACTAATTCTACATTAAAAATAATCATAATCATAATAATAATAATAAGAAGAAGAAAACTTACATCTTCAATACAAGATTTTGCTAATGGAAATGTACTATAGAATATTAAACCGATTGATAAATAAGTAAGTGCTACTAGGAAAAATGCAATTGCAATATCACGTATCTGAAATAAATTTTTTTGCACAAAAAGGTGAAAGAATTAAATTAGAATAATTTTTTGTGTTCATAAAATATGAAGCTAACATAAGCAAATAGAACAATGGAATGATAATATTAAGATAAATTGAGAGCTTAACTATGGTGATCACTCAACCAAGCTATATTGGCTGGAATATATGTTACTGTATGTTCTACTATGCAATACAGGTCGATTGGAGAATGTTAAGACTAAAAGTAGCAAATCAAGGTCTGAGGATGAAGTCGTACTGCTGACTGACTGTAAAGGTATGTGACAGCAGTAAGGTGTTCCCTTTGGACAACCAGCATCTTCCTTCTCACGAGGGAAGAAGGGGTTAGGAAAGGTGGACCCTAAAATTATGTCACAACTCACCTTACCTCGCAGACTTCCGTGTTCGGTACTAAGGCCACTTGAAGAGCGGAGCTAATACTTTAAAAACTGATCATTAAAATAGTTGTGTGTGACCAGCCTCAAGCAGTTTTCCCTTGGGATCTGCCATCACACTTTCAGATCCTTCAAGGAACATCGTTTCATGGTATGGGCAACAGGGAAATGACATCCACACCCAAACTCCTAAGAGCACGTAAAACTGACTGTTTCTGTTATGCATCAGCTTTAAACAAATATTGAAAACTAGAAAGCACTGAGATTCTGTTTCATTTTAGTTTATCACACTTTAACCATTGGGCATCTGCAACCTTTACTCAGGATCGAATCCAAGACCTCAAGACTTGAGATTATCAAACCGGTATCTAGTAGTTTGTATGTTTAAATTTAACTGATTTGCAACATGACATGATTAAGTTCCTATTTGTTGGGGACATTAGATCCCCAGAACTCACTTGATAAAGATCCTAATTTTGGATTTTACTCTTTCGCGAGTGGGCTGCTCAGTTGACCTTGAGACTGCATTTCCCACTCGGAAATCCTTGACTTTTATTAGCTGATGTATTATTTTAGTACGCTATTTTTTGTGGCTCTCGCAAGGATGTTGCTTTCATGTATAAATAAACTCAATTTGTATGCTTGTGGATCTCATATTTTTTGGGTGCTTGTAGAATACACTTTCTACTGCATATCAAGACTTCTTCTTCTAGTTAGTGGGGCCTAGGTATGCTCGGATTAGAGTAGTTTATCGTGTCACTGGATCTCGTTTATCGACTAAGGTGAACTCGTAATAGCATTCAAGCATATCAGTTGACGAACATAACACTATTGTCATAGGTTCTTATAAAAATTCATGGAATCATTTATCAAAATCAGTTATTTTTAAGCATTAACAAACTAAGCTCGTGACTTAAACTGCAAGAGATTCAACAGTGTGAAGTGATGACAATCAAAAAAATTATTTTCTCACATTCTTTACAGTAAAATCTTATTCGAGGTGGTAATAATTTTGTATTTTTACTAGTTAAATATGAAAATTAAGAATCCAGAGATATTCAATGGATTTCATTGAATTGACACCTGGTAGGGAAGTTTAGATGGATATGTATCCTTGAAAATTTAATTTCAGAGTTGAATTAATTTTATGAAATATTATCAACATGGATTTTAATAACTGAAATAATTATTTCATCAGTTTTTAAGTTCATGTTAGAAAATATTGTGTATGTGTTTATGTGTGTGGCATAGACATTATGCTTAGAATCATTTCGAAATAGAAACTTCTTTTGAATCTTGAAATACACCTAATCTGAGATCTTGAAATAATTCAAAACTACAACAAGATATATATTTATCACTAACTGCGTATATAAATAATATTATTTCTGATATGCTCGTCAACTGATATGCTTAAATGCTATTACGAAATAAACCTTACTCGGTTAACGAGAGCTAAGACAAATGATCCAGTGACACGATGGTCTTCTCTAATCCAAGAGTCCTAAAGCCTCACTAAGTTGAAGAAGAAGTTTTGATATGACATGGAAAGTGTATTTTACAAGCACTCAGAAACTACGATGTCGAAAATCACACATATCGAGCTTATTTATGCATGATAGAAACGTCCTTGGGAAAGCTACAAAAATAGCGTACAATAATAATCCATCAACCAATAACAGTCGAGGATCTTCCGTGGTGGGATGTGTAAACTCAAGGTCAACAGATGAGCTCGTGAGCGAAAACACAAAAAATTCAAAATTAGGACGTTTATGAAGTGAGTCCTGGGAATTCAAAGAAGCTATCTGTATGTGAAGGCAAGAACAGCATTTCTGCTATTGAAGAACATCAAGAAGTGAAAATAACCGTCAGCCAGCGGCAAGATTTTAATTTTCAATACATGTGTCAAAACGGTTCTATAGTATAGAACAGAAACTTAGAGACCTACTAGAGCGATTATCCTTAAGATATAGGTGTTTATTAACAATTCCCTACATATTATGCTGAAAATCGATCGGCCAAACACCATCAGCAACAATCTACTGTGGTAGTTAACAAGTCAACTTTTAGTTGAGGAATAAATTAATAGAAAAAGCTGATGGTGGATAGGATACACACTGCGGAAATTGCCCAGTTATGTCCTGAAGTAAGACCTAATTTGTGATCCTACAGGCGAAATGTGGCGAGGAAGGCTGAGGAGCCTATTGCTCTGAAAATCGTGCTTACTTAATAAAAAAAAAAAAGAATAGCGGTTAGGAGGAACTTGGGAACAGAGAGCGGGAAGACAGAGTTAGTTGAAGAACTCTAGTTCATAACCTGTGCCTGATGAGGAGTAACAACAATAAATACGTTTGTACTATTAGTTCGGTTTACTTAATTGTTTTAAGATCATTTCAATTATAAACAACATCGAGACAACGAATACATACATGTGAAATAATTCAGAATGCTAAATTCACTTACATTATTTTCTGGTCGTTTTTGTGTACGTGTTAATGTATGCAGAGTGTTGTGACAGAAAAACGCCAATGAACATATACCAGTTAAACTGATGAATGTAGCTTGAGCCTCTAAACACAAAAGTATATATATATATACGCATATATGATAAAAAGTTTACAAAAATATGCATTATTGTTTTTTTACTGTACCATCAATAATGAGATTGTGGAGAAAATTTGTAGCTCAGGTGGATGATCCAGGTGGTGTTTCATTCTCTGAGCTGGATGTTTAGTTGGTTGTGGAGCTTTTATTATTCTTCTGAACTTCTATCTGAAGTTTGTACTGATGATGTTGTTCATTAGAAGAACAATGAAAGCTTCACAATCAAAAGATCCACCTCAAAGAACGAAACACCACCACAAATACCAATATTAAAATTATCATAGTGGAAGAATGGTAATAACATTTGTGAATTGTATTACTTTAAGTTTCGTTTTAAGTAGTATAAAAAGCATTTAGCTAATATAACGTATTGGGTATAAGATAGTTACCCTACTTGAAGACAATGGATAATGATCTCACTTTATAATAGATATATTTGAAGTTAGGTAATAACACGTTTGGATGCTGATTCAATGTACCAGTGTTTACGCGTCAGCGAGCACGAGACCTTGAATTGCAATCTTACTTTATCCTTACATTGACTTTGATATTCAGACAGCCTTTAAGTAAATAGCTAAAAACAGGGACAAGGGATCAGCTTTAAGGATAGCCCTAACCCTAACTTGCCCCAATCAGAAAGGAAGACCATACCACACCAATAAATGATACCTAAAATCTCCGACTTCAATGAGCTAAATATGGTTGGAAGTCGAAGAGACTAGTAAGTAGGAAATACTGTCAACCATTTAAGGATCCAATGATAAAAATAATGATGCTTCTCCAAAAGAAATCTTTGCAAACAAAATAAAACAATCTTGGTTTTGAAAGAACAGCCAAACATTTTGTTTATTTTACACAGATCGTGAAAGTAAAATCAATGTTCAACAACATGGTTTCTAATAGTTACACTTAAAGACAAAAAGAAAGGAAGAGAAGAAGAGAAACAAGTAATTATCTACAAGTAGGTATGTGTACAACAAATTGTTTTTTCTTTTTCAATACAATTACATAGTTATGTTCTATGTGATCAATGTTTAATGTGTTATTCAACTTCATGTATACATACATATGTGGTGCGATCTACTTATAAGTATTATATGACGTGAGTGTCAACGTAATGTCTGGCAGCGGAAGATGGGCGAAGATCAAGAAAGGAAGAGTTAGAACACAATGGATTTTGTATGAAATGCATGAATAGTGACAATGGATTGATGTTTTGCAACAGGAACAGTCCAGTTCGATATGATGAACTGATATTTTGCAAATGAACGATTTACGATATGGTTTTCCAATTTTACTGAGTAACTCTGTAATTCATATATATATATTTCAAGCATGGAATATATTAATTTTGATAAATAAAACGAATTACGCTTTACAAGGGAATTTCTTACTTGATAAATGTGATGTAATGTATGTGAGAGTGTGTTCAAATCAACTTTAAAAAGTAAAACGCTACACCGGTAAAACAAAAGCGACTTTTTTTCAAGTGTTTTCTGGTGATCGTTTATATTCCACAACCAAAACAACTAGCTCAGAGAACAAAACACCACCACAATCATCCACCTGACCTACAAGTTTTTTCCACCATCTCAATTCTGATTATTAGAAAATGCATTGAATAACTTGAATGGTCAACTCAGTATACATGTACGGCAGTAGTTGGAGGTCACTGGCAGTAAATCTGGGACAACATTAGTCTGATTGAAAATGGAATTGAAAAGGTAGTCTAAAACGTATTTGATCAGGCATCTATAAACTTTTGTAGTCTGAAATGTTAATAAGAGGATACTTGTTCTTTGAATAATACGATGACGAACGGTAATACACTATAACTTAACCAACGGAATTTTCTTAAGATTAATGAACTATACAGGGGCATGAAAATGGTTACTACTCAGTAGTCTGATTATCTTCAAATAACCACAATTTCATTTCATGGTTTGATAAAAATAGAAAATTAAGTAAATTTATCCGGTCCCACGTGATACTGATCTTTCGAAACACTACTTTTTTTAGAAAACCCTCTAAATATAGTAATAGTGTAGGCAATCATTCAGTCGGAAACATTTAACGTTTTAACATTCTCTAACAAGCTTTTGCCTAATGACGATCAAGTAAAGAAAAAAAATTTCTTGATGTTTTCTGTAATTTTTAGAAAATTCAGCGAGTGATATTTTGGACATAGCAATGTGATCAGCCCACTAATAATATTTAAAATCATCAATCCATCCTTGTTTGACCCCTGTTAGAAACTTGGAAACACTAGACGGCAGTTTCGTCTTGGTATATGACTCATTTGTGGCAGTGCTCATCCATGACTCCGGCACCTCGCAGGATTCGATAAATCCCTCAGAGTTCTAGTGAGAAGGCGTGACCAGTGGAGTTCAGCCCTGTCGGGTGTAGGCAGTAGCTGCCAAAGACAAATCGGTGAGGTCGCGCAAAAGCCATTGATCATTCAGAGTTAGACATTAACACCGTTAGATACCGGCTCAGTGGTCCAGAGTTAAGGCGTTCGTGCGCAAGACCGAAGGTCTAGGGTTCAAGTCCTACGAGGTGCAGGAGTCGTGGATGCGCACTGCTGATTTGTGCTGTACCAGGATGATTCAGCTGTCTCGTGCTTTCAGATTTCTAATGGTGGTCTAACAATGATTGATCGGTGATTTAAAATGTGTAAAAACAATAATCTCCATAAATCTAATTACTGTAAATGTCTTTATGTAAAATAATTATGTTATTCGGTGTCTATAATAACCAAGACCATTGTAATATTATCAAAAGAATATTGATTTCAAGTTAAATGAATATCTTCATAATAAATGGGAATCACTTCAATGGAAAAAATATTCAATAAGAAATTTATTGATATTATTCAGAGCGACTGAATTCAAAAGGAATTCCTACATTTTACCTAAAAGTCTGTTTCGAATTCTTTCAGGGAAAAAGCTGAGATCGAATTGTCAAATGGAATGTTGGAGTTTTCCTTAATTTAGTTTCAACCACTTAAGTGTTAATGATCGATATTTTCGTTTTATTAGTCCAAACATGTCAATAAAAACTTAAGTGAACAAGTCACACTCATAGCAAAGAACCATCAATGTTAGTCCACTATTAGAAACCTGGAAGTAATGAGTGGCCGTGCTCACTAGTGGCTAGCTTCGTGAGGAAATTCTCGGAGTTCTAATGAGATGTGACCAGTTGGATGTAGTCAGTAACTACCAAAGACAAATTGGCGAGGTCAAGAAAATCCCTAGATTGATCTAAGCTAGACTGTGACACCGTTAGATGCTGGTCAAGTGGTCCAGAGGTTAGGTATATGCTCTCAAGACCGAAAAGTTCTGGGTTCGAACCCTTCGAGTTGCAGAAGTCGTGGATGTACACTGCTGATGAATCCCATACGAGGATGGTTCGGCCGTCCAGTGCTTCCAGGTTTCTAATGGTGGTCTCACAATGACCTGCAACTTCATGAAAAAACTAAAAGTCTACTTTTTATACAAATAACGGATTTTGTAAAGTGCTTACAACTTTTTCGAAGCTAAACATCTTGTTATTCTACGAACATATACTTTTGGTCTATAGACAGCTATTCCTTGACATTGTTAACTAATGATTGGAAACAATTCAAATCGAACTTACGTGGAACAATTCGATAAGGATGTTTCGATGAAAAATCCATATTGATTCCCCATTGACCAGCTTTTATACATACCAATATAACAAGATAGAATACACAAATAGTACCTAAATTTTTTTAATTTAAAGAAAGGAAAAATAATGTTGTATCAGTTTTTATGACATATTATTAGTTAGAACTAGTATGAACAATGAACGAAATATAAAATTTATATAGAATTTTCATATAGAGAATTTTTATAAATTTCGATAGAACGGTGAGAAGACGTAGAGTTGATCTGAAACAATGTGATGTATTTGCGCGCTGTACATTTCGAATAATCTGATCAACGCATTTTATATAAAGATTAATAAAAGGTCTATTAACTGAAAGTTCAAATAGACCTAAGGTGATAAGTGGAAAATGAAGGAGAGAGAAAATCATCGTCATATGGAAAGAATAAGAAAGGATAGGATACTGTCACATTTCCCTAGAACTTAAAATGGCTTAAAGATTACCAGGGTCAATTCAAGGTTATAACGAATTGTTTCTGTACACATAAGGGGGGTTTAAACTTACGAATAGCCAAGGTCTCCATAAACCTCATAATTCGTCCTTCAACGTTTTTATACAATCTTTTGAAGGGTGTCTTGATGTCAATCTTACACCCTGTCTCAATTATGTTTTGAAATCGATGAACATGGTTTTCTTATTTCTCGCGTTTATCGGCTCATCTGACGTTAACTGATTTTGAAGCCGGTTAGGAACATGTTCGATAACCCTTGATTGCAAAGTCCGATTACTCCTCCATATGTATGTGTGTCCACACAACCATGTAAATTGATAAATGCAATGGGATGTGATGTAATCATTCGAGCAACGTTTAGGTCTATGTGAAACCATGGGCTTAGTCTTTTCATTGACAATCAGTTTAGCAGCGCAATATGTTTTCCCTATGGCTGACTTTAATCGCTGTCTTAAGATTAGGCCATTTGATTCACCTCTAAATGGTAAAGTAATACAGGCCTTTTTCTTGGCAGAATAAAAAACAGGCTTTTGCCTTAACTGATTTCTAAACCTATTGATGAACTTCAGCGGATAGCCGTTTGAAATCGATATTAAAGTGAAGAATTTCGCATCGTCTTCAAATGTATCCGTGGTGTCAGTACTTTGTGTCTTATTGGAGAGGCATTTTACCAAACCTCTCTTGTGTTGCAGTGGAAAAACACTTCTGAAATTTAAATACTGCCCGGTCCAGGTTGGTTTTCTAAAAACTGAACGCTTTATAGTTCAATTCTCCCATCGAATCAACAGTGTGTGCAAAAATGGCAATTAGTTATTACTTTCTGCTTCATCTGTTTGGACAATGTCGTTCTGAAGACTATTGAAATTATTCGGTAACTGAGAGACATTGAATGCTTTATAGCATAAAACCAAAATATCATCCATATACCTCCTGTACAGAGTAACCTGAATGATAGGCTCATTCCACAAATTTTCAGCATATGCCATATAAACATCAGCTAAGAGAGGTCCTAAATTGTGTTGGTGTTTGGTTCTCCGAGCTGGATGGATCTAGCTCTGAGATGGATACTTTGGTTGTGGAACTTTCATCAGCACAAACTTCAGGTACAGAAGAGAACTATTCTAATTTCTCCATAAACGACTGGTTGCTTGTTCTGTTTAGCTCGCTTCTGATTGGTTGTTATTGACCTTAAACCTGTCATTATCTTGATCCTACAGGATCAAAGAGCAGATACAATCGAAATAAAGAAGCAGACAACAAGAGGTCTAAAGTCAGTAACAACCAATTATATTCGAGGTCAACAGAACAAGCAACAAGTCGTACATGGTGAAATTTGAATACTTCACTTCTCTACCTGCAATTTATGCTGATGAAAGCTCCACCGTCGAAACACTGAGCTCAAAGAATGAAACTCCATCATGATTACTTACTTACTTACTTTCGCCTGTTACTCCCAATGGAGCATAGGCTGCCCGCCAGTTTTCTCCAACGAACTCTGTCCTGGGCTTCCTTTTCCAGTTCTTTCCAATTTTTGTTCATTCTTCTCATGTCTTTCTCTATTTCTCGGCGTTATGTGTTCCTTGGCCTTCCTCTTTTCCTTTGTCCTTGAGAGTTCCATGTGACGGCTCGTCTTGTGAGGCTGTTCGGTGCTTTCCTCACTGTGTATCCTATCCATTTCCAGCGCTTCTTCCTTATTTCCCTCTCTACTGGAATGTGGTTTCCTCTCTCCCAAAGTAAGTTGTCGCCGATAGTGTCTAGCAAACGAATCCGAAGTATTTTGCGTAGAAAACTGTTCATAAATACTTGTACCTTCTGGATGATGCCTTTCGTAGTTCTCCAAGTTTGCACTCGATACAGTAGAACTGTCTTGACATTTGTATTGAAAATCCTGAGTTTGGTTTTGGTTGAAATTTGTTTGGAGTTCCAGATATTTTTCAACTGTAGAAATGCAGCCCTTGCTTTGCCAATCCGCGCCCTCACATCTGCATCCGATCCACCTTTTTCGTCGATGATGCTGCCAAGATATGTAAAGGAGTCAACGTCCTCCAAGGCATCTCCATCAAGCGTGATTTGGTTGGTGCATGTTGTGTTGCATCGGAGAATTTCGTTTTTTCCTTTATGCATATTGAGACCTGCTGCTGCAGAGGCTGCTGCTACACTGGTCGTCTTCTCTTGTATTTGTTTTTGCGTGTGCGATAGAAGAGCCAGTTCATCTGCAAAGTCCAGATCATCCATCTGCGTCCTGGCTGTCCAATGAATACCGTGCTTCCCTCCAGATGTTGACGTCTTCATAATCTATTCGGTAACCAGGAGAAAGAGAAAGGGTGAGAGTAAGCAACCTTGCCTTACAACGGTCTTCACCTCAAACGAGTCTGTTAACTGTCCTCCATGCACGATTTTGCAGTCGAATCCAGCATAAGAATTCCTTATGATGTTGACTACCTTCTCAGGCACACCGTAGTGTCGAAAAAGCCTCCACAGTGTTTTCCTATCCACGCTATCGAATGCCTTCTCGTAGTCAATGAAGTTGCTATAGAGTGATGAGTTCCATTCAATTGATTGTTCCACAATGATCCGTAGCGTTGCAATTTGGTCAGTACATGATCGATCCTTACTTCCTTCATGATTGTTTAATTTTATTCTATTTTATGAATATTTATCATAGTTGGCATTTAAAACAAACAAATAGCTATAGTAAAATATTTTTTCTATGCTAAAATTGATCATTGAAAAAAGAAAAATTGACTTAGTCAAATAAATTCGCCTTTTTTGAAAAAAAAATTCACTCTTACGTACCTAAAGCATTGAATTTACTTAAAAATGTCGGTGATTTAATTGAAATCAATGGAATGATGATGATTAATAGCCATGCTGGTACAGTACGAGTTTTTGACCATAAACGATGATACGTCGACATGGAACTGGTGATATTTGATGTATTGTCTGACAATAATACTTCATGCATTTGTGTCACATGAGGTATAATAATATTTTCATGATCTTCAAGCGGAATCAGCGGTAGGTTAGAACATGTAGCTAAATGAAAAGAAAGATGTTTTAAAACGAAAAAAAATTTAGTTCATTAAATAATAAGTGAACAGATTAATTTTAAATTTCATTTGTAGTTTGTAGCCTTAGTTGAAATATAACAAATAAATTAAAAATCATTTTCATTTCTGTTATGCATGCATGTAAACATGTCAGTTTGATAATGCTTGAACTATTACGAGTTTAACTTGGTTGGAAAACGATAGCGAGAATTGAGGATCCGGCGACATGACATGTTACTCTAATCCGATTGTCCGAAACCTCCATATTAAATAAAAAGAAGACAACTTAATATGAAGTAGAACCTGTATTCTACAAGCATCCAGTAAGTACGAGGTCTGAGTCCAGAAGCGAATCAGGATCCCGTACCAAGGATCCGGGACTGGGTCCTGGTCATAAAACGTTACAAATAATGCGTATTTAAACAGTTAGGTCGAATAGGAAACAGCATCGAATTCTTTGACATTGACAGTTAAGACAACCAATAGGAAACAACATTTGAGTGACACTGATAGTCAGGACAACCAATAAGAAACAACATTGCAGTACTTGACACTGATATCAAGGATGACCATAATATTGACCAATAAGAATCGAACAATAGAATTTACACTTACAAAATGAATCTTCGTAGGATATTTGGTGAATGTCCTAACAATTTCACAATTGAGTGTGTGATCGTCTCGACTTATTTAGCTCAGAAAAATAATGCAACTCTGTATGGAGCCGTTGTTAAGAGTTACTGTTGGTTATAAAGCTCGTGAATAATGGAGGAGGATTGGTCATGAGCTCGCTTAAAAATAAATAAAAGCTAACCAGACAAATAATTCGTTGGTCAGCGGTCATTACACCATGAGGGATAACAGGTGTACGTAAGTAAGTAAGTAGAAGGATAATGCGTTAGCGTTTGGCGCAAATAGCACTGTATTGGAATCCGGAGAGGATCATCAACTATATAATACAGGTACATCTAACTATTTACTCAGTAAAATCGGAAAACCATATCGTATATCGTTAATTTGCAAAATATCAGTTCATCATATCGAACTGGACTGTTCCTGTTGCAAAACATCAATCCATTGTCACTATTCATGCGTTTCATACAAATTCCATTGTGTTCTAACTCTTCCTTTCTTGATCTTCCCTCATCTTCTGCTGCCAGACATTAGGTTGACACTGACGTCAAATACTACTTATAAGTAGCTCGCACCACACTACTACTACTACAACTCTGGTTAAACAATAAAAATCCTGCAATCTACCATGTAATTATGCCGGTAATCATGAATTGTATTTAACATGTTTTCTAGCATAGATTATGTGAATCATTTGAAATGTTTGTTTTTTTGTCACAAAATAATTAATTAGTAGTACTCAAAATTCAACTAATTTAAATGAGACATAATCCACATCAGCATAAATATTAATTTCGTATTTCATGGCATCATTTGAAATAAGTTCAGTATAAGACAAGAAATTTTTAAACAAAACTAGATAACACATTTGAAACCATCAATCAATCATTGTTAGGACACCAGTAGAAACTTGGAAGCCGTTTCGTCCTGGTATGGGACTCATCAGTGGCACTGCGCATCCACGACTCCTGCACCTTACAGGATTCGAACCCGAAACCTTGTGTGCGAACGCCTAACGTCTAGACCACTTTGCCGGAATCTAACGTTGTTGATATCTAAGTCTGATTGATCTAGGGGTTTTGCACTGCTGATGAGTCCCATACTAGGACGAAACGGATGTCCAGTGCTTCCAGGTTTCTCATGGTGGTCTAACAATGATGACTGATAGATGATTTCAAATGTGTCAAAACACTAATCTCCATAACTCTAATTGAAAAAAAAAAAATAAGTTCAATTCACCAAGTAAGTAAGACCATCGAATTTTCGTATTTATTTCTCAATCTAAAAAGACGTTCAGAAGTTTTAAATAACCGGGAAAGCGTGAACATTGAATAAGCATATTCATTCATGAGTTGAATCAATAGTTTTCCCGATTACTTAACTGATTGTTGTTTGTGTGTTTACTGAGGTGTTTTTAGAAAGAAATTGAATTTGAAAATAAGATTTTTTTGAAGTGATTTGTGTGCTACAAAAGATCATTCCATGAAAGCAACAATGTATTTATTATGAATGCAATCAAGTGTACCGATGTAAAATGAAAATCTTGTTTAAACTAACAGATAATTTTATTTCCCGATCATTGTAGAAGTATTGTTCACTTATGATTACTGTGATCTGAATAAATGTTTGTGAAAGTAACAGGCCTCATCAATTTACATAACTATAAGTTATACAGTATCAATAAAAATTATTATTTTTCATTTTGGGTTAATTTCATAGACTTCGATGCTGTTTCCTATTCGACCAAAATGTATAAATACTCATTATTTGTGACGTTTTATGACCACGACCAGGACCAGGGCTCAGTCCCGGATCCCTAGTCCAGGAACCTGATTCTCTTCTGGACTCGGACCTCGTACTTTCTGGGTGCTTGTAGAATACAGGTTCTACTTCATATCAAGTCTTCTAATTATTACTAAATATGGGGGTTGGGATAATCGGATTTCAGTAGCATGTCGTGTCGCCGGATCGTCGATACTCGCTCTCGTTCTTCCGACTAGGTAAACTCGTAATATTTCAAGTATATCAAGTTGATGTGTTTACGTGCAGGCATAACAGTTAAATGAAGGCATTTATTATATATATATATATATATATATATATATATATATATATATATATATATATATATATATATATATATATATACATATATATATATGGAATTTGTCCATGATTACGAATTTCAGATAATTTCCTATCCGTTTTCAAATAATAACAATAATTATTGTTAGTATTATAAATTATAGAAATTTGAAAATCAAAAAGGTTTTAAAAACACGAAAAATATGCCATCGTTTCATTGTGTTAGGTAGAAATTGATTGTATGTCATTGTTTCAAAGTTAGATAAAGCTAATGAACATTGAAATTAGGCATTTGAATGAACTTAGTTCGAAGTTGTTTGCTATGGACAAAAAGGTAATTATGTAGAACGCCACTGGAACCTTCAGTACTGACTTCCATTATACTTCAACAAATAACCATAGACTACAAAACCACAATACTACTTGAATATTACACAAAATGACATACAATTCAAGTGTGAGCTTCACTTCACACTTAGAAATAAATAGAAAATCAAGTGAATTGATGTGGTTCCATGTGACTTTGATCTTTCAGAAATGTGTATGCAATCAGTCAATGCCAGACGTGACACATGAACTTTCTGACAAGGTTCTACTGAATGACGACAATGTGAAGCATTCTCTAACGAGACTCTTAGACAATTGATATTATTGAACTATTCAACAATATACTAAAAAGAATATTCTTGAATATTGCGATTATTGTAAAATTCCAACGGAAGATCAAGGAATAAATGCTCATTCAATCCGCAAACTCAAACAGTAACCAGGGTCTTAATCAAATCTATTAAAATCTTAATTGAAAATAAAATTATTCAACTCGTATTGATAGAAAAAATTAGTTTGACAAAAACATGTCGAATAAGATAAAAATTAGATAGATACTTTATATAACGGTGTTGTGAAGATTGCTGAGTTACACATTTGAAATCATTCATCGATCTAAGTTAGACCATTGCCACTAGTCTGAACGACTTGATATTGGGTAGATTTTATTCTAAAGTTTTAAATCATTGAAAGTAGTAGACAGTGAAACCACTAGAGTTTAGTTTTGTACTAGTTGGAACTAATTACTAAGTTATGCTTGTATCTTGAAAGAGATGAGCCAGCATTGTGCAGATTCTAGCTTTGTCTGATTTACTGAGGAATGGAGATATTTGCAACTGATCAAAATGATGCTTATCTAGAGACGTGTAGAAGTGATACTATTCTACCGACCCAGCATGCATTTCTGTGTCTACAAGATTACAAGTACATAAGAGATATTTATGTCTATGGTTTCTTGATCACTACATTTCAAGCGCCTAACTTTATTATCTTCTAATTGTAAATATAATAACTTAAATTAATATAAATGAAGCAAGTGTCAGACAGTCGACAGTTCGCACAACACAACAGCATTGCCCCCTGAATTTCATAATATATAGAAAGAAGAGATGATTAAAAGTAGATATTATTACACTCGTCAATTGATATGCTTGAAACTATTTCTGGTTCATCTCACTCGGTAAAGGAGAGCGCAGAAACGATACAGTGACACAATAGGCTATTCTGATTTAATTGTTCGCCGCCCTGATAACGATATCGAAAATCTTGATATGGAGTAGAGAATGTATTCTACAAGCACCTAGAAAATATGAGGTCGACAAACGCACAAATCGAGTATATTTATACATCATACAAACTTCCTTGGGTGAGCCACAAAAATAGCATACTAAAATAATACACCAACAAATAACAGTCAAGGATTTTCGCGGTGAGAAATGTAATCTCAAGGTCAACTGACCAGCCCATGCGCGAAAACACAAAAAATACAAAATTAAGACCTTTATCAAGTGAGTTCTGAAGATCTAACATCCCAAACATTAGTAAGTGTTTAAAATGTAATTCAAAGTTAATTTTTTTATCATGCAGTCATTTTAAGTAAACATGTTTTTTATTCTACAAACTTTCTATTTACGTAATCATCGTGTACTTACTAATTGAGAAGAGGATAACTCACTGTCATATTGAAAAGCTGTGATCTATGGCGACTTTTATCAATGTCTAGTATGAAATCATATATATACAATTCAAATGAACAAAATTTTAAAAAAAATGTGTCCAACTGAACCTTGAACAAATGTTCAAATGACAATATGTTTTTAGCTGAAGGCTAGATTTTATCACTGGAGGTTTATTTATAAGTATACACCAAGTTTTCCTAATGGCTAGCCAACTATTTCCTATGAATAGTATTCAGAGGCTTCAAACCTTCAACAGATATCC